AAAAAAGATACTTTCCTGTCTCTGGACTTTGCCTTGTTCGTTTGTAAATCAGAGCTAATACTTCTTTATATACATATATACTATATAGATTTCTCTCTATAAATACCATATAGGAATGTTCAGGACCCACCGGTGGTGCATTGGGTTATACTCTGGGCTACTAAAAGAGAGGTCGGCAGTTCAAATTCACCAGTGACTCCTCAGGAGGAAGAGGAAGCTTTCTACTCCCATAAAGACTTATAGTCTCAGAAACGCCCAGGGGCAGTTCTACCTTGTCCTACAGGGTCGCTGTAAGTCGGAATTGACTTGATAGCAGTGTTTCATTAGGAATGTCTACAGAAGCATTTGTATAGTATAAATCACTACACAGAGTCAGACATCAGTAGGGCAACTCTCAAAGGGCCTTTACTAATCTCTTTTCAAGATGACCCTACTCTTTACATTGGAATTGATGCCACAGCCTTTGTTGAGAAGAGGTTCAAACTCTTGGGGACCAGTATTCTAGTTGGTGGTCTGCCTCTGGCTACTGAGGTCACCTGGGGAAGTTCCTTCCTCCTCCAGAGTTCAGGCTTCCCTTGAGATGCACACTTCCCCACCAAGGGTATTTCAGGAGAGTAAAGAAGGAAGCACATCTAGGATCCTGTTCCTGTTCAACCAAAAAGGGGAGGAGTTTCCAAAAGTTCCTAGAAAACTGGAAGTAAGGGAGAGTGGAATTTTTCAATGAACCTTTTGAAGCCCCCTGTGTGTTTGCAAACGTTCAGAGAAAGTGCCCTAAAGAATGACATCAAACCTTTCATGTGGTCGCCTGAGAAAGACCACAGAGGTGGTTGGGTGGGGAGAACCAAGGGGGGCTTTAATATTTGAGAGATAAGTCCAAGTATGTCTGCCTTGCATAGTTTCCAACAATGTTTTTGTGATCATAGCAGCAAAAAGGACCACCCTGGACTCTTCAGAAAGAAGGACAACCCCTCAACACCAGTGCCTTCCTGTCCTCACTGGGGAAGGGCTAGGAACCACCGGGCTTCCTTGGGGTTCAGGAAGGGACCCTAAACAGGTTTGGTTCAGTCTCTCTTTGACCAATTCCTCAAGATCACTTCTCTAAGCTTCGCTGTGCTTCAGATCTCTCCTGATTAACACCCACGAAGTGGTAGTATAATCTATAGCCCCAGAGCAACCGTTCTCAACCTATGGGTCTTGACCCCTTTGGGGATTGAACGACCCTTTCACCAGGGTCACCCGACTCATAACAATAGCAAAATTACAGTTATGAAGTAGTAACAAAAATAATTTTTATGGTTGGGGAGTCACCACAACATGATCTGTATTAAAGGGCCGAAGCATTAGAAAGGTGGAGAACCACTGCCCTAGAGGATACCTAGGGTCCACCTGGCCCACCTTTGGGGCTACTTCCTTTAAAACAAATTTTCAGTTAGTACTCCTGGTACCACATCCCCAGGACCCACACTAAGACTCCGAGGCCCTAGCCACTGTTCCTCAGCCACCATCCCAGGTCTACCCACTCTTTCTTGGTCCCCAGTGGGAGAAAAGGTGGGCTCTCATTCTCAAGAAACTGTGTCCCCCCCACAAGGTGCAGAAGGGACCAGTTATCAGACATCAAAGAACTAAAAATCAGATCAGTGGGTGCCCACCTTCCTGATACAATCACTGAAGACAAACGTGTGCATAAGCAAATGTGGTGAAGAAAGCTGATGGTGCCAGGCTATCAAAACATATAGCATCGGGGTTTTTTAAAGGATTGAAGATAAACAAGTGGCCAGCTAGCTCAGAAGCAGCAAAGCTCACATGGAAGAAACACAACAGCATGTGTGAACACGAGCTGTTGAAAGGATCACGTACCAAAGAACAAATAATATCACTGTAAGTGGATGAGTACAGAGTGGAGACTCAAAGCCTGTCAGCAGGCAACTGGACACCCCCTCGCTGAAGGGTTGAGGGGAAGAGATGAGCCAATCAGGGTGCAGGGTAGCACGATGAAACATATAACTTTCCTCTAGTTCTTGAATGCTTCTTCCTGCC